TTTAAAGTGATATAAGCAGCATATTGTTTAGAATTCCCAATGCAGCATAAGTGGTGGCATATATTTTCTTGTCTTCTCCAAGTCTTTTCTCAGTACATCATATCAATGTTCAGTTTTCTTACTAAGATGACTTTACAAAATTTTGTCTTTTTATTATTAAATTTATTTTTTGTTTACTTTATTTAAAATATCACATTCTTGGCACTATTGCCACATAACATTTGATCCAACAGCAAAATCACAAAATACTTATTCTAGAGATATAATTAATATCTCTAGAATTTCGAATAGACAGTTTCGCTTGCTGTAGTTAAAAATCTTTTATTCTGTTCAGTGTTACCATTTCTGAGTTTGTTAATAAAAAATTCATTAAAGTTTTACAAAATATGAAGTAAACAAAAAAAAAATTCTATATTCAGGTGGAGGACTATGTTATTCAAAAATTTTATGGCTTTAGGCACCGCTGTTTTTCACAGTGCAAGAAACATACCTACATTCATGCAGATTCTCATTATTTAATTTCTTTAAATATAATACAGAGCGATAATATTTGGTGGCAACAGTTTGAAAAGTGAAACGGACACTTGTAGTGAAACAACACAAAATGCCCTTTCGAGACTAATAGACCTGGGCTAATGCCACTTGATTAATTCTAATGCTAGGAAAAAACTTGATTAATTCTAATTTATTTATTAATTTGCCTTTGAGGAAAGTTGAAAATTATGTCAAAAACTGCAGATTTTGAAATTAAATGTCTCATCTAATTTTTGTTGTGTGGTAGTCAAACTTTTTATAACATTTTCTTAACTATTGAGTATACAGACCAGGAGAATTTAATTTCTTATTTGAATCAAATATTTTGTTTTTCAAATTTTTAAATTCAAAGATAGGAATCTTTGTGTTATTTAAAACATTTTTATAGCTGAAGTATATGCCTATAACCAACAGTTGCATAAACAAAAGCCATGTAAGGACTCTTATAGATGAAATATGTAAAATTGATCATCCTTAATTAAACATAGCAAATGTGCTTTAACATTTTACATGTCTAGAATCTATTTTCTCAATGCCTGAAAATGAGGAATGTGTCATTTGAAATGAATTAATTGAAAGCTTATTAAAAAATAAAAAATTAGTAGATTACTATTTTTTAGCATCCGTTAAATGCAGCATGTACTGATATTTTTAATAAATATATCAATCAGTTTAATTAGCAAATTTAAATTATTTCAGCAAAAATGTTATTGAATACTAAGGTTAATTTATTCATAGAATAGAAAAGAGTTATAGATCTATAGTAATATCTAATGTACTTCATAGAATAATTATAAATAAAAACGATTCATAAAAAATTAAATAAAGGATAAACTTCAAAGAAATTCCCAGATTTGTAAAACTACAGAAAAGAATTTAAGAATTAAATTTTATAATAGGTGGATGTTTAAATAACTGAATTAAAAAATTACACTATATATATAGCCGCAGAAGTAATTTTGACATCCATATATTTTTAATTTTCATTGAAAAAATTGTACCCTTTCAGTACCTATAAGAAAACTACCAAAGAATGAAATAATACAAGGCTGGCTTTTATAATCCTTTCTTCACTAAACATAACTACTAAATCAGCTAGGTATTATTACATAGTCACTGGATATCATAGCATACAGAATTTTATCCAGTGTCAGTGGATATTACAGGATTCATACCAAAATAAGTACCTTTAAGATGAGAGAAGGCATTTTAGTGAAAAGAAACATGCATCAGAAAGACACAAGTTACTTCGAAATATTTTAGTGTGAAGATATAAAACTGTACACATATAAATTTCAGAGCAAAAAGCATATATGCTACTTTGTTATTTATACCAAAATTTTGTCTGAAGATTTAGTTTTGTTATTGTGAGATAATAATATATAAACTTCAAATGCATATCAACAAAGTACTTCATTTCTAGCTTTCATCGTGACATACCAAACTAAAATTGTCTAAATACTTAGTGTTCATTTAAAGAGCAGATTCATTCATACTAACTTATAGTACTTTTATTTTCAGTCTAAATATGTCTCTCTTCTTGACTATGAATTATTTTTTAACCCTGAAATGAATGGCATTTCAAAAGTTTTAAAAAATTTTAATGGCACTACCTGTTTATTTGACAGTGCCTCTGCATTTTATCAAATTTTAATTAAAATATTCAATTTCAGATTACAAATTCCTAAAAATACACAAATACAATTGTATGCTAATAGTATTCAAATATAGTTAAAACTTCATTATAAGGATAATCCTTTGTAGTAACACATTTTTAAAAAGCTCAATAAATGTGTACAATTCCAATTTTTGAGTTCATTGCTCACAATGTCAATCTGAAATATCAATGTCATTCATACAATCACCCAAAGTTTATATTATTATTATTTATTTGTGTTTATGATAAGATGATATTTGTTATGAGTTGATATTTGTTAGGTTAACAATTTCAGCATTCTTAGAAAATTTTCCATTATTATCTTACTCCTAACTGTTCCCCTAACTTATTATTCCCTTTGTTTGTGATTAGCCATTGCTCCCTTCATTCACAGACTCGGTACAATCAAAGCAAAGGTTTTTTAAAATGAGTGTTAAAATGTGGACTTTGTAAATGGCTTGAATCACGACATGTGTTGTAAGAATATGGACTTCTCCAATTTAATTTAATTCTTCAAAGAAAAACAACGAAATACCTATTGTTGACTCATCATTTTTAAAATCGAGACATTGACATTCATGATAAATTATAATATGCTAGTGTAAATTACTATATTTTGATTTGTGAGTCACATAATTCTCACAGCACTAATTTAAACAGATTCACAGGCAATGAATGCTAATAAAATTTTCAAATTTTCATTTAATAGCAAAAATCACAATTTCAGCACAATATCTCAAACTAATGTTTATGTTAATGTGTGTATTTTTAGACATAATTGCAACATCTGATATTATTGAGAAACATTTCAAAAATTCATAATGTGCTCTTCAGCTTCTGAAATCACTATAAAAATAATAGCATATTATTGATTTCTCCAATTACTGTTTAATTAAATTAAAATTTCTATGCTATACAAAAAAAAAAAAAAAAAATTAATGGAATGCTATAATAATTTGAAAATTATAAATTAAATGTCAATAGTTATTACAAAATGTTTGCTTTTCTTCTCTGCATTGTTGTGTAAATTGACATTTACATTGTTCTAATTCCTCTCTCCTCGTGTGAATACAAGTTTCCCTTAAAACGTCCTCCATGAAAGCATCCACACCCTTAAGGAGATAGCCCACTCGAACTTTGCCATATTAAAAAAATCTGATGTGTACACCACATGACTTCCTTGTACGGAATATTAAATTGTACGCATTTTTTCTTGCATTTCATTTAAACTTATTAGATTGAATTAAACCAACTTCGCCAACACCACATAAACCACAATAGAATAAATGCATTCTTTAAAATTCACTTTGTTTACCATAGCGACACTCTGGCACTAGGTTTACTTAACAGTATTATATTTCATTCATATTATAACTCAGAATGCACAAAATGAATATCATTTAAAGAATTATCTAATCGTTGCCACATGTTCTATTCAAATACTATAATAAAGCTAGAACTATGTATAAAAGAAATTAAGCAAAAACAAAAAGAAACAGTTTTTTCGCAGACGATTGAGTATTTTCTCATTTAATTAATTAAGTTCTTATATCGCGAGAAGGCAAAAATACATAAAAACTCAAAATATCTATATTAAAAATTACAAAGTAAATCTCAAACGCTTATTTCCTCGAAAAAATTCCAGAAAGAATTAAGCATGATTTAATTGGCAATAATAAATGAATGCGTTATCTTTGTTGTTGCGAAGCTAAGTTTCTCTAGATTGGCAACAAATCCGCTATCCTGCTGTTTCAAATGTAAACAAGAGCAATCGCCGCCATCAAAAACATTATTAGGCTTAGCGGCGCTAAAACAATTTTAAAATTGTTGATAATTCTAAAAATATTGCACACAGATTTACTAAAGGCATAAAATCCTTAACCGGAAGATAAAAACAATATAATTCAATCATTTTTAAAGAAAAAAATGTACAATTTACAAACATATAAGAGTAAAGAAACTGAGATCACTGAGCCGGGTAATAGAGTGGATATATATATAAATATATTTATATACGTTTGGTGCGGCCAATTGCAACCAAAATACGAAGTGCACATTTACATGTTATAGCAGTCCTATATACAAAATTTCAACGTTCTGAGGCTACTCGTTTTTGAGTTATGCGAGATACGTTCGTACAGACGCCACGAAAAATTCTCTTCAGAATTAATTTTAAAGCAGTTTTATAATTTTTTTGAAGGAAAAGAGTCTTTTATTCTGTCCTTACGTACAGATATCACGCAAAAACATCGTTAAATTGCATTCGATAGCGGTCAAAATGGATATTTTCGTTGAAATATGCTGCCTGAAACATTTTGCGATTACAATACTTCCTTTTTTCTTCGTACAAGGAAGTAAAAAATACTCAATCTTAATTCCTTCCTTGTATGTATTAAATCAATATTTATAGAATTACTTTATCCAGTTTTGTAAAGGTCAACTTATAATGAAATTTGAGTGTAAATGTATTATTTTATGTCAGCTATTTATGAAAAATGCAATGTAACAAAATTAGGGAAATCGTCTTCTAGTTGTGATCTGAGTATATTTACCAGCACTGAAAGTTTTGCAAAATTTTTAATTGTAATTTTAAATATGAATACTCTTAAGTGTAAATAAAATTTTGCATAGCAAGTGCTACAAGTATTTAACAATAGTAATCTCACAAATACTTTAAACCCTAAACTTATATATGCAAGTTATATACCAACTTGTTGCGATATTTTGTACACACTTCATATGGATATTCTAAAAGGATGTATAATAAAACCTAAATTTTCTTTTAAATGCATTCAGACAAATGAAGAAATTACACATAATTAATGAAAATTTTATTGCTATTTTAAAATTTGAAGAATTTTTATGTTACGTCAACTTTAAAAATTGTAAATAAATATCCTAGATTTTTTCCAGTTACAAATTATTTCATAACCCATGCAATTAATTCATTTAATATTCAGCCAAAGAAAATGTTTCACAAAAGCATATATATGAAATATGTATACAGTAATTATTGAATTCCTCTTTTGATTATGTTATGTGCAAATATGAACAATAAAAGTACTGGGATGAATTAAAAAGAAATTCTGTGACTGTTCTCATCAAAAATATTAGCATGCTATACTTTTTCCACATTACCATTATTAATAAGCTTCATAGTGATAAATAAATATGAAATATTAGAGTTAATAAGAATACTTCATTAACCCCTTAACTGCCTCGGGCGTATATATACGCCTTGCTCAGCCGATGCGTTAACTGCCCCAGGCGTATGCATACGTCCTTCCAAACTGCTATCATTTGCTTTGCGCTGCTACACCTAAAATTATTCGCAAAGTTAACGCATCGGCTGAGCAAGGCGTATATATACGCCCGCGGCAGTTAAGGGGTTAATAAACACAAACATGAAGCTTTGTTATACAAGCCTATCAAGTTTATGCTTCATACAATTCAGAATTTTCCTTACAGAACCGATGGTGTGAAGATTTTTTTTTTTTTTTTTTTTTCCCTTCTCCCACAGCATCAGTTCCATAAAAGAAAATTTGGTTTCTTAGTCACAAAATAGAAAAAGTATAATATTTTTTTGCTGTTTTATACATTTTTCCATTTTAAAATTACATGGACTGCATAAAATATTGTACAAAAATACTTATATAAATCTAAGAAAAGAAACAGATAAACATAACAAAATGCTTACGCATAACAAAAAACAACCATAGATTAAAAGACATACATTTAAACAATCAAAATTAGACTGATTCTGATCTAAAGTATTTTAAAATATTATTTCGCAGTTTGACTTTGTTGATAAAACAAAATATACTACCATTTCAGTATTTTTCACATAAGACATTCTTACACAGCAAAAAGTAAAATAAAAGTTTAACTGAAATATACATGAATATAATACTACACAATAAGAAAAATCCGAATGATGCCCATGAACATCATTTCGAATTACATTATTTTTATGACTTGCAAATTGAGATGGCAGTACCTGAATGAAAAAAAAAAAAAAAAAAATGTTTCAGAGAGTACAACTTTACAGACAAAATGTTAAAGTTGTCACTTCATAATTTGATAATTTATTCTGGAAGTCCATTATCGTTTCCAGCTTGCCGTTCAGTAATTACATTCTGAATCTTTCGTAAAGTCAGATCTTCACTCAACTGCTTGGGAGGAACTTCATTATCACTATCATCTTGTAACAACCGTTTCACTGCTTTCTTCTCTCCCATTTTTACAAAATTATTAATGGCTCGTAAATCCTGTAAAACAAAAGTTTTTCACTGCATTATTTGATGATAATTTATTCAAAATATTCAATACAAATGGTTGGACAAAAATATACACACTTTATAAACTGCAAGTTTGAAATAAAATGTTTTTTTCTTGCAAAAGCTGTTTGTGGCATTGATGTGTTTGTTCACTAATGCCATCTGTAAAACATCTTCAATACGTTGCAAATGTCATTTGTCATTGAGACAATGTTCTGTGCAGTTGTGAGTGCATCATATCGGAGCTAAATGAATTCGAATGCGGGAAAATAGTTGGGGCTTGTATGATGGGTGCTTCCATATACAAGGTAGCTGAAGTGTTTGGTATTTCAAGAGGCACAGTATTTAATATTTTTAACTCATACAGGAAAACCAGAAAAATCACATCCATTAAATCACAGCGCAGATGAAAATGTATGTTGAGTGATCATGACAGATGATGAATAAAGAGGACTGTGATGAAAAATAAGAGGACTACAGCCACAAAAGTTATTGCTGAACTAAATGTCACACTCACAAACCTTGTCAGCACCAAAACAATATGAAGAGACCTCCACAAGCAGGATATTTTGGGCATGCTGCAATTCAAAAGCCGCTCATCAGTGATCAAAACGCCTGCAAGAGAAAAAAGTGGTGCCAAAGTCATAAAACCTAGACTGTAAAGCAATGGAAGATAGTCATTTGGTTGGACGAGTCTTGCTTCGCACTGTTTCCGACTTCAGGTCATATTTATGTCTGGCAAATTACCATGCAAGGTCACATTACTGCCAAGGATTATGTGACCATTTTGGCTGATCACGTTCATCCCATGCTACAAATTTTGTTCCCCAGTAGTGATGCCCTATTCTAAGATGACAGAGCTCCTGTTCACTGAACTCATATCATCCAGGATTGGTTTTCTGAGCATGAGGGTGAACTTTTTTTACATCTACCATGGCCACCACAGTCACCAGATATCAATATTATTGAGCCTGTCTGGGTTATTTTGGAGAGAAATCCACATGAGTGCTATCCACTGCCATAATCCTTCACTGAACATGCCAACATTTTACAGGAAGAGTAGCACAAGATTCCCTTGCAAAGTATAGAAGACCTCTATTTATCCATTCCGAGAAGACTGCAAGCTGTTTTGAATGCCAACAGTTTTCCTACACCGTATTAATCAGAGCAATATGTTTTTATTTTGGTGTTTTCATATTTTTATCCAACCCCTGTATAATAAAATTAAATTGTACTTGATATACAATTAAAACAGTACATCTGAAAATTTTTTTGGAATAATAGCTTCATAAGATATAACAATTTAAAATCAAGATTTTTTTTTAGAACAGGTGCAATTATTATAAAGAACATTTATTAAGTTCCTGAAATCTAAATTAAATAATATATTTTTGCATTATGCATGTATATAATTTACAGCTTCTACAGGCTTTAAATTAACATATCATTGTAATGGCATCTTTAGTTGCTTCTTTATGGAATTACAATAGCAGCAACAAAAAATAATATTTAATATTTAACGAATGGATCTTTTTTCTTGACCCTCTGAGCAGCATGGCACTTTGGCTTTACTTACAAAATACTGTATTAACCGTCTTCAAAATAACCGTTTAACCTTTCTTCAGACATCTACATGAGAAACATAAATTTAAAATAGATAATATTTCAGTATCATACATTAAACGAATACCATACATGTAAATTAAAAACTTATTTTCCTAATTCTTTCGTACAATTTTTACTCTTTTTATTCAGAATAAAATGCCGCTCGGATGGCTAGTGACTCTGATAGCCGTAGCAAAGCATCCGGGTTCGAGTCCCGGAGAAGGCATGGATGAGAACTGTTAATTTATCTTTCGACCTACTGTTGGTGGCTTTGTGAGCTGGTGAAAAACACTGGCATGGCTACCTTTATGGCTCTTAGGTATTGTACTATTCTCTTCACAAATAATATTAAAAAGAAAAGAGAATTATAAGAATTATAAGAAACAAGAAATTTTATAAGAACAAAATTTTCTAAGATCAATATTACATCTTTACATCCAAAGGGTATTATTAACCAAACTGGTGATTAAACAGGAAATGCACAAATTCACATATGCACAGACATACACGTGGTGCAAGCATGCATATATTGGCTATTATTGCATGTATGCTCAAAAAACATCAAAAACACAGTAATTTTAATAAATATTGAAACCAGAAGTGAAGTTAATCAAAAAGCATCTTTAATTTTTGCGCAAACAATATAAATTGTAACAGTAAAACAAGCACAAACAGTAAATAAAAACCAAACACAAATAGTATAAACTATCAGGCAGTCTATAATTACACACACATAGTCTATAATTATCACATATATATAAGGAATTACACACATATATATAAGGAAGAAGGGAAGCTTGAAACCTGGTAAGAGTCGTTAAAAACATTTGTATGACATATCTGCATTTGTCAGCATTTTTTACATTATACTATCAAAACTCAAGAAACACTATGTAATATGAGTGATAAAGTAAATTTTAAAATATTTAAAAAAAACCTATCCAAATTAGAGAAAAATGAAAAATGTGTACAAAAAGATGTTTTTGTTAATCTTCTCTGTTCAAAGCTCTAAACAGAACTTGTCAAGGGAAAGTGCTTAAAGCCTCCAATCAAGTTGATTAACTAGATCATGCAAACATGTTTTTTGCCTGATAAATCCATTGATACTTCAAATGGTATTAATCAAACTCCAATTTCCTTACAAATTTAAACTACAAATGTTTTTAATGACTTTTACTAGGTTTCAAACTTCCTTTCTTCTTTAAATTCATTTTGAACAATCAGCAGCTAAAAGAGCGTTTTTAGACTAGCTTTGTCATTCGATTTTTAAATTCTTTTTACTACTATTTTACATATATATATATATGCATGTGTTAGAAATGTTATCCTTCATGACCGACAGATGGTGCTATTTTTCTTTACTGTGACAAACTTCTTCTATTCACATTCCTGTCATAAATTTTCATAATGTGTAAACCTTGTTGATCTTCTTCATTATATATTCAAGTTAAAATGTCATTTGCACTAGTGTACATATGTACCCCTAGAATTAAGAAAGTTTCAGCCATTTTTTGAAGCTGAGATATCAAGGTAAGATACTCTCTACATATATAAAAAATAAATAAACTTACCTTTCCTGGACTCTTGTTAAAGAAACATGATAGTGGTTTTCCAGGTGATGGAGGAAAATTTGTATTTGTCATGGGTGCAATGTAAACTGAATGTTTATTAGAAACTCTTCTCCAGGGTGACAGGGGATTAGCATTCAGTCTGGGAAGAGGTGACAATGGAGGAGATTCCAGCTAAAAATAAAAGTTGAATTTATTATATAAACAAATTTATTTTATGACAATATGCATGCATCATTCATTATATTCCAAAAAATCAGTTTTTAAAAATCAAATGGTATATAAAAATGTTTTGAGGCTAATAACTGTTTTAGGAACCTGTATATATATAAAGAAAGGTGTCTAAGTATTAGACGACACTTACACTGCTAACAGTTTACTGGCACCTTTTGGAACTGAAATATAATTTTAATAACAGAAGATCAGTTAAACTTTTAATCTTTTTTTTTTTATTATTTGACAACTACATAACATTTTGATGTTCTCTGCAGCTTCTCTTGCTTCCATATGAACTCTGCTAAAAAAAGAAGACAACTTCATACAAACCAATTTTTATCTCTTTTTCTTACACTCTATCTGCATTTGTCAGCATTTTTTTCATCATATATTTTTTGCCATGTACAGTTTTACTGTATGAGAACTGGAATACTTGTTTATTTTTGGCAAAATATCAAATGCCCGGAAACAAAATATAAAGAAGCATTTTTACAATTTTTCCCTCTCCTCTTGAAGAGGACAGGCCTATATCTGATAACCCTCGACACCTACCACCACATCAAGCAACTAGTTTACTTCTAGAGATGGATTTGCATCTGATTGAATTCGAAACTTATGGTTTTATTCAAAATCAATACCAAAATAAAATAGTCTTTTTTGCTAATTTTAAATCAAGAAATAAATGTTGCATTATTATAGGAAACTAACTTTTCTGAAGAGAATACAATGATTACAGAAAGCAAGCATCAGTGGCAATGCACATGATAACGGATAGATAATATCAAAGACAATTCCACTTGAAAAATTTTGTTTTGGAAAAAAATACTTTGGTTTTTAAATCAGCAGTTTAAGAGGACAGATACTGAAAATAATTGACTGTTATGTTGCTTTAGTATTTGAATTGACTGTTATGTTGCTTTAGTATTTGAAATGACTGTTATGTCGCTTTAGTATTTGAATTGACTGTTATGTAGCTTTAGTATTTGAAATGACTGTTATGTTGCTTTAGCATTTGAATCCAACAACAGTTGAAGTATTACAATTGCTGCATAGCTAGTCAAGAGTTGGTGCTAGATTTTAATCTGTGATACACATAGCATAATATCAAACATTAGCATTTTTGCAATAAAATTCAGTGGATTACATTGATAAGAAAAAGAGAATGAAATACTCATAAAAGAAATTAACTACTTACCCCATTATTGGTTTGTGAGAATTTATAAGCAAACCTCTGAATTTTTGGCACATAAACCTAAAAATATTGAAATGCAGATGAAATTTCTAACACAAAAATATTCAAAATGTATTTTAATGTTTTGAATTGTTACAAAACATAGGATTACTTAGGCAGAATATTAATGTGTATTTCAGATTACTTAAACATAATAATAAATAATGAATTGAACTTGTGTGATCACTCTCATGTAAATTTGTATAACAGAAATCAGACCATCTATAGTTGTAAAACTCATTAATATCAAAATAATGGAACAATAAATAGACACTCATACCCTAACAATACTCACTGACAGAAGTTAAACAATGGACAATATACAAGAACGTGAACGGGAGAAAAATAATATAAATTATACCTTATTGTAAAAATTGATAAGATCACCTCGCTCTTCAAATTCAAAATGATTTCCAGTTCCAGCTAGTTTTGTTGGTGTTGGAGGCTGACTACTAGGAAGGGGTACTGGCAAAGTGCTTGATGAACGAATGGTACTTAACTGTTCAGTTCGTTTTGATTCTAGAAAAAGACAATTTTTTATGATGAAATAATTGTCCATCTGATGATTGATAAGAATGTTTAGAACAAATAATGTAATTAATTTTACTCATGAAATATTACAAATTAAAAAATAAATAAATAAATAAATAATTAGAAAATTGCAATAACACAAGGTTTAAGTTCACAAACTAATGCTGAATTCCTACAGTATGATTCAATCAGGTATTAAATAACTGATGAAACTTGACCCTTTTTTTTTTTTTTTTTTTTTTTTTGGCTCAATTACAAATGAAAATGCCTAAATTGTGCCTTTCAAATGCAAACTGTGCTTTTCAAATTCTAATCATAGAGCAACAAAAACTAACACATATAATTACTTGTGATGCAACAATATGTTCCTTTCCTCCATGAAGGCACCAACAAATGTGGGGTATCAATGGGTGATCATTTATATATAGATATCATAATATTAATGTAAACTGAAGGTATAACAACAAAATTTTGAAACACAACAATAAAACAAAGCTACAGCAACTTGTATGATATAGCAATTATACTAAAATCTAATAACCAGCACTACACTATCAAATAATATATATAATTAAGAAACATTAACAGCATACAAAGCATGATCAAGGAAAAATAAAATAGAACAGAGAACACTTGACCTATAGCAGTTTCAATAACAAAAGGAAATTAACATAAATATTATGGTAAATCATACTGAAAGAAAAATTTGAGAAGAGCTTAATTCTCAAATACCACAGAAGAGATATATCCCTCTCATGTCATACCTTCATAATGCATAAATTCAAAAATACCGAAAAATCTCAGCCCCCTGATGATAAATTGTGATTTTAAAGATAAATAATTTCAAAACATAAAAGCTGATATAAGACAATTTTAATTCATACTTCTTATGAATGGTTCATGATTCTAAGATAAGTAAAATATAACAGAAAAATACAAAACCATCTATGTTTTTCTTGGGTCAGTCATAACAGTAGACCAAAATGCTTCTTTAACGCTTTAAATCACCAAATTTTTAACTCAATTTTTGTTACAAAATATTACTTTAATGCAATTTCATTGAAATATTCAAGAGACTTTAAAAAATACCTTTTTCTTCTTTATCAGTGTTTGCATCACTTTTAGAATTTTCAGATGGAACAGGAGAATTTGATCCAGATCCATCTTTACTATTATCACTGTTTCCAGAATTTCTGCGTTTTTTGTTTCCTTTATTAACTAAAAGAACACTTCGATAAACCTGAAAGATCAGTTCATACAAAATAAAATAAACATCAAACTATATTTTAACTTGAATGTTCCCCTACCAAAATATTTTATTTAATAATAATGATAAAAAAATGTTCTGCTAGCTTTCTTCTAACATAATCTAATAAAATTTGTCTAATTAAAAAAATTTTCTAACTTCTTGGAGTTAAAACTCATTAGTCTAAGGAACAAAGGAATTTTAACAGAGGAATTTAATGCTAATTAAATATCATGAATTATCATGAATAAAATATTTAAATTAAATATCATGAATAAAATATTTAATGCTAATTAAATCACAAAGGAATTTAATGCTAATTAAATATCATACTTTTGCATCAGAAGGACTATATCATACAAATCAAAATTAAGAGTTTGCTGTCTCTATATGCACAGAACACATATACAAGACACATTTTACAGTATTACTGACTGCGATTAAGTGCTTACTGCACATATCTATCTCTGTCCCTGTTTAAAAAGAACAATGAAATATTGAATTCACTAAAATCTAAGAAAAATATTTTTTCAAGAAAAATTTAGGAATATTGGTATTTTATATATATATATATATTTTAAAAAAATATAACATTAAAAAGTTAGATCACCTGAGTGATAAAACAAACAAGACCAGAATATTAAAGATACATGCATCTATATTATCACAACTAACTAATGTAACACTTGATATATTCAAACCAGTGTTAAAAGATTGCAAGAGCCTTTAGATATTTATTGTTTTTGTTTAATGGGCAAAATTTAACGTGCATTCATGCTAATACTGTTTAATAATGAATAATATTATTTTACCAAAGATGTAACTTAAATATATCAAAGAGTCTACTATTAAAGATTTCATTAAACATATATTTTGAAATTTAAAATATAAGCTTTTAAAAAATTACAATCAAATCTGAATCTAGTTAACCCCTAAAACAGATTTAAACTAATTAATTACAATGAGTTTGAAAGTTAGGAATTTATTCCCTATCAACTTAAGATATAAAATACAAGATTATATATTTAAAACAGAAATCCCAAATGCAGGATTCGTACACGTTTCTGCACATGGAAATTAAGTATTTTTAACAACCATTAATGAAAAAAATTAAGGACCTATCAAAAAATAGGAGCTGAATAAATTACAATCAATCAACTTATGTCTGAACTTCATTTTTGTAATAACACTCTAAGAATAAAATAGATCTATATGAAACAATTTAATAAACATAACTATAAAACAAATTTGAGAATAAAAAACACTTTATAAAAATTTTTAAGTAGCATTAAATATTTAACGCATATATTAGTTGGACATATTTGAAAAAAGATTATACTAACAGTTAGCTTTATGTTGATTTTTTCTTTTATGTCTCATTTTGCCACGTACTTACTCAGTCTAGAAGTTTAGTAAATATCAGGCAGATTTTATGTCAAATAGCATAGATTAAAATGAGAAATAAAATCATAATTAACATGATTTGTAACAAAAGGTTAGCTGTTGCCAGTGCTGCTGCTTGCTGATATAGAGACCTGTTGATCAGAAAAAACCTGAAAGCCTGATGTAGGCATGGTTGGCAAGTTTTTAAAGTTAGTTGTGCTTCATCTGCCTGACGTAGTTAGTGTTGTAGCTTCATATACACTGACATAGTTAGTTCATAACACTGATGTAGTTAGTGTTGTAGCTTCATATTCTGGGATTCTAACCCAGTTAATATATTGTAAGGTTCCAATAAGCTACTAATGGCACCAGAGGAGATAAGTTGTTTTGTATTATTTTAAGTCTCACTAGATACAATGAATAAGTTTTACAATATTTTTTACATTTTTGTGCTGTATCTTGTGGCCATAGTAATGATCAATGAAATGCAATAACTTGCTTTAATATGCAAAGATAACTTTTAAAGGTGGGTAGCTAGTTATAAATAATTAAATTAGGTAGTTAAATATCTTTAGTCGTTATAAATTTACATGACCATTATTAAATTTTATTTATTTTTTAAAAACATTTGTTAAAAAAGCAATATTAAAAATTACAATCTAATAATGTTTCACAGATTAAAATACACGTAATTTATGACATTGATTCTTAAACGGTATTCGGATAATTACACATTAAAAGCTATAAAACAAAATACTTGTGTCTTTTTAATTTGAAGTCTTCCCAGACATTCTGGATAATTTATATCAATTTCCTTCTCTTTAAACATCTTTTCTAAATATTAGAAATATGTTTCAATTACACAAACCAATGTTCCCACTAGTTTCTGCATGCTTTATCCTATAACTTGGCAATCTCTCAACAGTGTACCTAATGAGGTTTTACTTGATATGGTAAAAGTTAAATAATCCAAAACCTCTGATAGACATGAAACAAATTATTGCTATATCTAAAAGTAACTACAAAGTCACATAAAGATTTAAATACACTTCTTATTTAAAAAGAATTTAGAACATACAGGCACATTCTTATGTTGACAAAATCAATTACAGCTTGTGGTGATGAAATTAAACACGAACAATCAAATTCAAACTAAAAGTGTGGACTAGTCACAATTTTGTATCAAAGATTACAAAATTTAAATTTAAACTAAGGTGACTCAGTAACTCTATCATAGTAACAAATTCGAATGTTAGCAGCAATAACGTAAAGATGAATAATTACAAATTATCACAGCTGACAAGAACTAAGGCAACATCCAAGTGGAGGGCAAAAACATGCTGTCTTACGATCCAAAAATCTCAGTTTAAAAACTATCTGGTTTGTATTATGGTCAAGAAATGGAAAAGGGAAGTTATAGTAAATGCTAAAATTAAAAACAACTGGTTAATTTGCATATAATAACTGTGCATATCTTTGAAGGACAATTTTCTTCCTCTTTATGTATTCAGTTTCTTTCTTCAATATGTTTCCTCTTCACTTTAGAATTTTTGGAATTAATTAAAAATTTCTGTTATTCTAAAAAAACATATGTTGTATACAATAATTCTAAAAAACCAAATGTTGTTGAATAGAATGTAAAGGAAAAACTGCTACTTTTATTTCTTTAGTAACATGAACATTCAGAATAAATATGAAATGATATGTGGTAAGGGCTGGTTTCAGAGCCAATCAGGCAGAATTTTTAGAATTTAGTGACATACTGAGCAACAAAATCTAGAAATGGCAAAACTTTTAGAATTTAGGACAGGAACTGGGAGCAGAATTTAGAAGAGCAGTAGGCAGCATAATTTAGGAAGGCACTAGGCAGCAGAATTTAGGATCCACAGAGATTGCATCAGGTGGGGAAAATGCCTAGTGCCAGCCCTGTGTATGATCCATTGAGATATATAAGGTGAATCATTTAAATTGCCGGTTTTCAATTTCTTTATTAATAAAAAATATTATTTTTTAAAAATTTAAAAATAATAATAATAAAATTCTTTTTTATAAATGCCTATCCACGTGAAACGATTAGAAACATTTTTGATATTTTCCATGCTTGTGTCTAGTGAAAAGTTGAGAAAATAAAGGGAACATACACATGTTAAGAAAAAGACTTCTAGTATCAGAAGTACAACATTCAAACATTATGTTTTCATTATCCTTCCAAAAGTTATCGAAAATGTAAGAAATTTGTAACAAAATTTCTTTAAGATACATCCATTATGTGTTAATATAATGAAGACATTTTTCATTTTGTCACATTTTTCTGGAGCCTTCTAAAATTGCGAGTCTGTAAATCTTGCCTTCAAATCCTTTTAAATTTTCCAAGTTGCAATGCCTAAAATCCTAAAAAATTAGCCCTGCCAATTCTGTAACAGGAAAAAAAGGCAGGAATAGTTTGGAAAAAAAAAATTAATAAAATCAGTGGGAAAAAAAACGTAAAATTAATTTTATAAGGAAAACTGATGTTTATTTTGACAATTCTGAAATAATTACATGGGAAAAATTCTTACCATGAAAAAAATTAAAAAGAAGAAATTTTTAATTAATTACATAGCTATTTTGCTTTCGCTATGAATTGTTTTGTAAACTGTGTTTTATAGCATTTATTATCTTATTTTTCAGATTCAAAATCCTGTATAATAAGTTGCCAAAACGGAAAGTAATGTCACTTTATAATATGACAACAAAAAAGTATAAATATTTTACTTTAATGTTATTTCTTAAGTATAATTTCAATATATTACCATTATTTTAGTTAAATTTATCAATGGGTTAATATTTTTAAAAAATTGTCAGAAAATTCCTAGATTTCCGAATAAAAAATTTTCTATATAAACTTATCTTAAAATCAAAGAAATGTTGATAAATCGCCAAATTTCAAGCCGTTTAATAAAAGAATTCACATCCTCAAAAGCGAAAAGTTGTTTAAGAGCTCTTCATTAGGAAAAAAAAAATGAAATAATTTTGAAATGCTTATGTTTGCTCAGGAACTTCAGTATCCCATCCTTTATATTAGATATAGGAATAAATTATAACCCATGAACACATTCACTCATTCAAAAGATAATCAGATTTGTCAGTGAATCGCCAAAATATTCCTCCAAAATGATAATTCACACTCAAAATAACAGTCGTAAAATCAAAACAGAAATTTCAATTAATTAAAATTAAGGACCTTCTGAAGATTTTGGCCGAAATTAAGGACTTTTAAGGACCAAAAATCAATTCCAAAAAACCTAAGGGCTGTACAAACCCTCCAAAATGACAAGATGAAAAACATACTATGGTATTTCATCATAAATTAAATCATACATATACAGAATTTATTCTTAGAAAAGCTTTTACTCCAAGGAACGTAAATTTTATTAATGCTATGAATTATTGGAATAATTTAAGTTAGTATTTTACGTATAAGTTATTTAGATTTTTATTGTAGAAATATATATGTATACATAATTCCAAAAATTTTTGAAAAACAAAATATAATCTTGTCTAGTATTTACGCACATTACTAAAGTCAGACACTTTCAAGATACCTAAAATCAGAAACAGTTATTTAAGTGGAAGTTATACATACATGACTAGCAGCTTGAGGTTGTAATCTGTAATATTTCATAATTTCTTGAAAACTTCTGTCTTCTTTAGTTACCTGAAAAATGAATGAAAATATAAGGTTTTCTTAATTAATTAAATTTTTTTTAAATGTTCGAGTAAAATGAATATAATGGAAAAATATATGTATATAATAATTAAAATTTTATTATAAATATATTTCAATATAAGCTTATATTAAAAAACCTAAAACATTTAAGTGATAATAAATAAAATATTAAAACAAAATAGCATACTTTGCATATGACATATACTGCACACATAAGTAGTTGATCTAAATGACGATCACACATTAGATCTGTATGCTGCATCAGAGAATACTCGAAACAAGTCCAAATTTTGCGTCGTAATTCATCATCCAAGATACCAAGTTTATCACACAACTCTTTCAATCTAACTCCAGCAAGGTGATAGACCTAAAGGTAAAAAACAGGATACACTTTTTCATACACGTTAAAAATTAGCAAGATAGAATAGAATGCAGAATTATGTATTATACACTTCAAACAACCATGTTAGCAAATATGTGAGAAAAAAATCTTCTGGTACCTTTGACATTTTTTTGTCATGTTTTCTTAAATATATAATATATGCATCACACTAAAGTATACTTGAATAAATGTGCATGTGGGGATAAAAACCAAACCATATTTTCTAAAATAAATTATAACATTTAAAAATCCAATCTTGCAATTTTACAATAATAGTACAAAAATTATTCAATTTTCATTCATATTCTGTTAAAAAATCAATTCTTCAACAATTCTGAAGATATTAAAATCAATTCCCAAAGAGAAATAACATCTCACTGTATTTTAATACGAATGAAATTATTACAATAAATTTGTATACATATGAAAGAATTAAAATATTAGCATAATAATATCTGATATAGTGTTATTAGAAAAGCATGACCTTATGAAAATATTTAAAACATTAATTTTAAAAGCTAAATTAAAATGCAACACAACTCTTTTCATATAAATATAAAGAAAACAATATTTTATTATGCCACAATTAATTGTTATGTTAGACTTCCCTAATTATTGCACTGAAATTAAACACATTTGCTTATAGATAGCAATTCACAAACTTTTTGGAAATTGCATAAGCTCACGACTTTATGGAGGACTTTTTAGGCTAAAATGTTTTTACATTCGTAACATATGAGGAAAGTACAAAAACAATCTACACAGTTGGAAACTGAACTCATGATAAAATTCCAGAGTACAGTAATCAGCCACTACAAGGCTGCTTTCCAAAAATTGTATGAAAGAAATATATCAAAAATAGCATATGAAAGAATAAATGCTTGCTTTACTTTTTTATCAGTAAATTAAAAGAGCATGAAACATTACTGGCATAAGTAAACTAGCATTAGGTATAATAATAGATATCGTATTTGACGGCATATAAGACACACTTTTTTCCTAAATTTGGTCTCAAAAAAGTTACCTGCGTCTTATACGTGAAGATAATTGCATTCAATAATTGGTTATTTGGCTTTTACAAAATGTGAGAACTAAAAGAAACCACACTATTGAAACTTTTTTTCCTTGTGTGTGGCCATCTAAATAAGGGTGCGTCTTATATGCCAGTACGTCTTATATGCCGTCAAATACGGTAATTATGCGATTCCCATGCTAGAGTTTGGAAAAAATTACCCATATTTCTTATTCTGTCTTGTTAATAAACTAAGATGTATTAGCACAATCACTTTAGTAAAGTCACCAAATTTTTTTAATGTGCCAAACATTAAGCAAATATATAACAATTAGAAAAAAAAAAAAAAAAAAAAAAAATCAGGAATACTGTATTTGGCTGCAAAAGTGCTAAATAGAACAAGTGACTATAACTTATTCTCAAGGGATCGCCACAAAGTTTTCAGAATAACAGAAAGAAAAAAAAACTTTTGAGTAGATTTATTGATTGGGGTTTTAAAATAAAAACCTAACTAAAATGTAAAATATTCAAGATATAACTTTTTCCCGCAATAAATTATCATTCTTTTTCATCTGTTTAAAAAAAAACTTTCAAACGAAACTAAGGTGATTGTGCTAATAAGTTAGCATCATACTAATAAGAAATCACTGTTTAAAAAAAAAAAAAAAAAAAACTGAAGGAAAAGAATCATTGCTGATTAAACATTACACTATTCTTAAATCAAACAAATATGAATTCTTCCTTCCCACCTTAAATATTTCAGTATCTTTTGATAATTTTCACAATCCTGCTGTTAACCCCTTGATGTGTAATAGCTGCATCCTGAAACTACCAATTTTGTTTAATTCCCACCCCCTTCTTTCCGAAATTTTTAAGTGAAAACTGATTACTTATTATTTACCTCTAAATAACACCAACAGATGGCAGAATCATGCATTTCTTACATCATAGTACTTTAAATCGTATGCCATTTACAATTCATTTTCAATGAGACAAAATAACTTCCTTTTATAAACCCATTAGCCGCTGGTGTTGCGTTGACGCAACGGTCAAAATAAATGCGTATATAAATATAACTACCTAAGATATTTTATACCAGCAGATGATTTTGTGTAGGGAATATTATGAATATTATTTCTGTAAAAAATATTTGCCTTTAACAATCATTTTGTTTATAATAATTAATCTCATACTTTAAGCAAAATTTTCGACCAGGTATTTTGCTGAAAATATTTAATGACAGAATCGCCAACTTTATGAGTGATCTATTTTTAGTCAAGGTCACCGTTTATCAGAACATTACATCAGTCAGATGTTTATATTTGTGTTGGGAAGCAAGGGAAAACAGGTGTTGCGCTGATGCAATGTCAGCGGGAAACGGGTAGTCAATCTCCTTTTTCACTCATTCCTTTCAATGTTCTGGTTGTTCAAAAATGCCTAGAACAAGGTATCTTACATTAGAAGAAGCCCTTCAAAGATTTTTTGATGAAGAAACAGATGATGATAATGTTAATAATGACCAGAATGAAACTGATATTGTTGTTATTCCCCCAGAAATTGCAGAAACTAGTGATGAAGAAGAAAGGAACGGCAATGTTTTAAATAATGATAATGATATTTTACCAAATGATACTGCTGGGGAAGTTGAAATTCACATAAGAAGTAAGTTTCAGCCTTCTAAAAGCAGTTATAGTCATACTAAAAAGTTTAAAAAGCAGAAGATTGAAATCTTGAAGTGGATAAAAAAGGAACTGTTAGTTATGTTTCAGGAAGAACATGAAGAAAGTGATAGAAGAGAAATTATAAAAGACAAAATACAAGGTAAAACTAGTGCACAGATTTTTGATTTGGTTTAGACATTTACTCTCTTCTTGCTGAACAGACAAATATATACGCTCAGCAAAAAAAAAAAAAAAAAAAAAAAAAAAAATTTGCATCTGAAGCCTATATGAGAAGATTTATTGGAATATTATTGCTTGCAGGACATTATTCTTTACCTCAAGAAAAAATGTATTGGTCTTTTGATAAGGACATTTCTGTTCCTGTTGTATGAGAATCGATATCACGTTTGCAGTACAGAAATATGAAGCAGAATTTGCATTTGACAATAGTCAAATTGACAATACTGATAAATTATATGAGGTGAGACCGTATCTAAACTTACTAAATATCACCACTTTTTACTACTGGAAATATAAAGTCTCTTTTAGATTTTCAGACGCGAGAATGCATTATTCCTTTTGCAAACTCCTATTGAGAGTGTAGAATCAGCCAGAAATAGATCAGCAACAGGAAGACCTAGTAAATTCAGCATTCAAAAACCATTGCATGGAGAGGTAGACATTTTATCGTAAAGTCTTGATAACAAGACTTTGTTGTAAAGAGTACCATAGCCGACGTTTTAGATGCAATATGTAATGTAGCTTTACATCATGATTGTAATCACCTTTTCATGCTTAATCTTTCAACGAATTCTGTATTTGTAAAAATACATCAAGTCTTATCCGACTCATCGGGACTTCGGCGATTCCGGATTATCGATTTTTCCGGATTATAGATCATCAGTTTAAATCTGGTAAGATGGCATGCAGAAATTACAAAATTAAAAATATGAAACCGTAATTTATGAAATAAAGAACAATTATGATCTAAAGGGTATCAAAATTTACAAAAAGAAAAAGCTTAATATTTATTTGTTTACTTTATTAAACATTTCCTTCAATGTAAGTTGCTTCGTTTCATGTGATAATACTTTCTCTTTAATTCTATTAAACAGACATAATTTCTTGTTTAGTTACAAAGTTCCGCTGTTCAAGTCCTATAATTGCTGTGTTGAGAATACCGACTAATTTGTCAATCGAAATGTTTTCGTTTTCAATAACCTCTGGGTCACTTTCTTCACTATCGGAAGCGAATTATAATGACGAGGAACTTGATTTAAATCATATCAAAGACGGAGTACATCGAAATGAAATACTACACTTAGTACGGAATTATAAACCAAATAAAATAAAAACATCTGCCCTGAAGATAAGGATAGTGCTGACAGATCAACTTCCAATCCGCAGTGTGAAATTGATAAACAGATTTCGGATTTCAAAACATACTTTCGCTTTGTAGATACAAATTACATATTAGTAAATATATATCGGAAATTCTATTTGACATAATCTTTCTAATCTATCATAATCTAATAATGACATTTCTGCCCCCCCCCCTCTGCCGCAGAGCAGCAGCGTGAAATTGATAAACAGATTTCGGATTTCAAAACATACTTTCGCTTTGTAGTAAATATATATGGGAAATTCTATTTGACATAATCGAAAGTTCAAGCTTACTTTTATAAAATTGCTCTAACAGTCTGCAAAAAATAATAAGCCGGATCCATTTCGAAGATTAAGGAACAACGCAATCTGCAACATTAACTGAATTAGATAACTTTAGCTTAGCGTATAACTCCGTTACACATTAAACGCGCATGCGCACAAACATATTCGCAGCCGTAAGGGTCTTACGCGCTCTCGTAAACGCCTGTGCGCATGCGTGATCGCGACGCATGCGCAGAAAGTTTGTAGCTTTGAGGTCCGGATTATAGATCATTCCGGATTATGGGTGTCCGAATTAACGACTTTTGACTGTACAATGTATATTATAATATTAAATTAATTACAAGTAAAGTAATTTGTAGATTTATAAAATGTTATACAGCTAAAACGTAATCCTGCGCTCCACTCAAAAGAAGCATCACACAAGTACAATCCTACTCACTAAACATCCGTACTCTTATTCCGCTGACGTTGCGCGAACGCAACACTCGCGTTTTCCCACAGGTAAGAGCATTTTTTTTTTATTTTCAATGTAAATTTATGTTATAAATGCTTAATTTAATATTTGTTATTATGTTCACGAGAAAAGAAACATTCCTTGCAGTTTTGGCGGTTAATGGGTTAACATAAACAACTCTAAATTTCAGAAATTATTCATTGCACATCATTTTTATCATCAGCAATAAAAAATATAGCAATAATATGTGAGCAACTTTTGTATATTTATGACATTTCCTTTGTGGTTTCATTGCACCACCACTGAGGACTACAGCACTGACCACTGTGAACAGCAGATGTCAGCACTCCTGGAATAAACACAGGTAATGTTTGCTGTTGTTTAAATAGGAGTATTTTTTTTTTTACTGGATATAGAGAAACGGAGACCGAAGTCACATAGTAATTTTATTAGTAAACAATATGTGCACCTACTTGGTGAAAATGTGTTTTGCTATTTCTTGTAAAAAGGTCTTTCCTTTCCAAACAGTTTTCTCTTTGCTCAACATGCTTGCTTTCTATGCTAGCATTGGGATTTTACATATTATTTTGCATGAATTAAATATATTTTTTTAATAACTGAAAACAGCAATCATGTAAAAGTTTTATTGAAATTTAAAATACTTCATAAACACTTGTTTTCTACAGCTGAAATTTAAAATGCCTTGCATAGGGCTAGGAATAGCTGAGGCATAAACTTTAATTGAAGAACTAACCATCAAATATAGAATCAGCAGTCTCAGAGGATAAAAGTGAAGCAGAGGGAAATCCTCTTTTATCCCCCCATCCCTCCTGCTTATGAAAGCAATTACCAATGAGAAAATGAGAAAAATTTACCAGGTCCTTCCAGAAATAACGCAGAATAAAAGGCAAAACGCAGTAAAATCAATTTACGAATTTTCTGAGGCTTATGGCTTAAATGAAGAACTTGCATCTATTGATGATCCAAAAAACCCACTGATATGTTTATGCTCTTTATTACTGTTGCATTCTTAGAGAAATTAGTTTTTAAAACTAATTAATATGCAATTCAAAAGGGTAAGCTTTTTTTCACTTACAACTCTTCAAGATATGATGACTTTTTTCCAAGATACATATTCTAATGTCCTAAGCTATTGGGATTTTTGATCAAGTAATGCAATATTGTATGAATCTTATGTGGCAAAGCAAATGGCAGCAGAAAAAAATATGTATTTTAGGTAACTTGCATTTGATCAATAACAGCATAATAAACAGCCTACATAAAATGCAATTTTTAAATACCAATTATCTTTTGAATTTGCTAACTTTTTCATTTACTGGAAATGTGTATGGAACAAGATAAGTTTCACCTCCTAATACCTCAGTAAGTTTCAAAGTCCTAGATGCATGCTGGTTTCACAGTGCAACCACCATCCACATATGAATGTGGCAGCAAGCATAGACTTTTTTCATTCCTATATTATTTGTCTCCAGAATCATAACATTTGATTTCTAGAGGGTTTTTTTATATATATATATATATATATATATATATATATATATAATTCATTAAAAAAATCAAGTGCATCAAAAGGTTAATATATGCTTATAGATGTACCTTGATCATAAAATTTAATTTTATTCATCTTCCTTTTGTTAAAATGTATTCCAAAAAGCGACATTCTTTACATATTTTGTCGATTTAAAAATACTTAATGTTCATTTTCCTCCTTGTATAATTGAATATAAATTCTTTACCTTGTATTCTATTGATAAAAAATTTACATAGCAGAAATATGTATAATAAAATTAATATTAAAATTTACCTTTCGAAAGAAAAGTCCCAAAGATCCTGTTCTTTTAGGTTTATTCGAAGTTTCGGATGAAACTAATTTTACTTGTGTACTTGTAACACTTGTCTGGGAACTTGTGCCAACAACAGTTGTTGTTAAAGGTTTCATGCATGTGATAGATTGATTAGCTTGGGATACAGGAGATCTTGTAATATGTGCTGGCAGATAAGTAACACCATTATCACTTTGAACCTCTATAAAAAATGAAATTCATAAAAGTACAATCACTCTAAATAATGACACATAGAACTTTGCAAGAATACAAAAATATTTAATGTAATGTCTTACTTCCCATTAGAATCACAAGCGTATACAGAATCCTTATAAAGATTCTATATACAAATAATTGTGCTGCTTATTTTAAAGATTAAAATCTATGTAAATGTCTTTGAAGTAATATTTTCCATTTAAAAGATTTTATATTTTGTATTTTGTCTTGTTAATTTAATGAAGAATGCATTTTAAAGGTCTTTTTCAGACAATTCGGGAACACTTAAATTATTTCACATCATTTTATTGATCACAATATAGCAATTACTATTCATATCACTGAAAAATTACAATTCATTTAAATTTTATAAAACCATTTTCTGAGAAAAATTTTAATTTAGACTAAATAAATAAGTTAATAAATAAAAGCTAATAAAGAAATAAAATGCTTTTTTTAATATGAGAGAAAATATAGATACAAATACAGAACTAATTACTTGCTTTAATGAAAATCAATGACCTTATAATTTTCATGAATAATAAAATATTTTCCTATGTATTTTATACTAACATTTTACAATATTAAATACTTCTTAACTCAGAAAAATTTCCAAAATATCTGGATTTTTCCCATTTTAATTTTAACAACATTTCTTCAGTTTGAACTAAAAAATAAATTAAATAAATAGCAAAATATTTGTATATACAAGTAAAGAAACTTATTAAATGCTTTTATGGATAAAAGTTATAAAATTTATTATTATTTTGAGAAAATTCATGTAGAAAAATGATTTTTTTGTATACACATTCTTTTACATGCCTTTCACAATAAGCAAAAATTTAATAATGTAAATATCATATTCGTCTTTAAGAGTCTATAGCTTCTTAATGCAAAAATTCAAAATATTAAAATTCAAAAAATTACAAATTCCTTTTTACGAAACAATTCTGCCACAATATCTTTTTTGGGAAGAGCTGTGATGCACTATTTCATATCATCATAACATATGCAGAGTTGGCAACTTTCCCAATTTAGGCAGGAGACTCCCGATTTCCGACCGTTCTTCCACCAACCTGATTTTACAAGAAATTTCACCCGGCCTTCTCTTAGTCTTAAAATTTCCCCCAATTTTTATATAGCTTGGCTTAATACTTTATTATCTGCACCAAAAGAAGAAATTTTTGGCATCTGAAAGCACTTGGTTTTTCTCTATATTACATATAAAAAGAAACCAAAATCATTTCATCAATGAGAAATTATGGTATACTTCTGTTTTGCGAGCGACAGCACATGTATCCGAAAAGTGTAGATGAAGACATTAATCTTGAAAGAAGTTCTCAAAGAAAGGAAAAAATTAAAACAGTTTCAACAGCTGCGTAATACTGAGTTAAGAAAAATGTTGAAACATATGTGCACATGCTGGCTCTCTTTAAAGAAATGTTTATCTAGAATCTTCGACCAATGGAACCCACATCTTGAATTTTTTAAAGAAGTAAATGCTTCTAGAGTTAAGATACAAAAAACTCTCTTGAAAGTTATAAAATACCTAAAGTAGATGGAGATGTGGTTATTACTTTCACTGTTAAAAATAGGTTTGAAGAAAATAAATAATTTCTTCCCATGTGAACAATTTAATTGGCAGTTCTCAAAATAATACTACAAAATATAAGCTTAGCTGATACAAATTTCTCTCTCCCCCCCCCAAAAAAAAAAAAAAAAAAAAAAAAAAAAAAAAAACTCAACAAGGGAAACATTTTCCAACTACTGTAAATTTATCTTGTGAAGAACAAATAGTTATATTTTTGCTTTCGAAACTTAACAAAGCTTTTTGCTTTTTTATACAATTCATTTTGCCATCATTCAATGCACATTTTGCAATCAATGCTTTATGATCTGTTTAAAGACATTTTATCAAAGCATGTACAAGCAACCTCTGTCTTGTAATTCTATATATGGTGTGATTTATAGTGAAATAGAAAATCAGAAGAAAACATTTTTATCTCCAGTGTGTGTGACTGTTTACTGGAAATTCTAAAGATATGCTCTTTTAAATATTTTGTGATACTACTGTTGAATTGAATTTTATGGTTAAAGTGTGAAGAACATGATATTTAATAAATAAAGGTAACACACAAACTTTTTTAAAAAAAGTGCCCCTTTGGGCATAATATAAAATCTGAAAGCTTTAAGAATTATTATTATTAATATTATTATTTTGTTAAAAGATGCAAATAATAAAAATGTTTCTTTACATGTAAGTATTTGTGTACTGTTTGCATTTACAAATAAGTGACTATATAAATTCATCATTAAAAAGTATATTTTTATCATTTAAAAAATCTTTTGTCATTGAGTAAAAATATCCCGATTTCTTAAAAAATATCTTGAATTTTTAGTGTTGTAGGGTGGCAAGTATGCATATGAATTCATTCTTCCCCACTCATTTCTCAATGCATCCTTTTTCTCAGGCTGCCCTTCCCTAAAATGTTATTCACTGTTACAATACTTCACATATCCAAATTGTCTTATTTATTGCATTTCTTCTAAGTTCAAAGATAATATAACTTCAGTCAAATGTCTTGCATAACCTTGCAATAATAATGACAATAAGAAAGACATTTAAGCTGCCCTGATCAATATGATGGTTAGTGGCGTCAGTTTCTGCTTTATTGGGGTCTGGTTCAAATTCTACAAAAAGTGTGAATGTTTGTAAATATCCTTACTACATGGCAGTCTTTAAAATATTATCCTTGAGAGTTTCCTTGAGAATTTGGGGTAGGGGAAAACCTTTGGATTTGACTCTCAAGATGACCATCAAAATTGGGATGGAACTGACAAAAGCTGTACAGCCAAGGTATAAGTTACCTAAGGCCTGGATCAATACACACATTTTCTTCCTCTTTGCCATGATTAATTTGTAGACCTAATATGAGCAAATATCCCAGGATCAGGAGGGTAAGTAACAACAGAAAAATTTAACCTGGAATCTTACACAATAGCTCTATCTTAAAAAATCATCAGCAAAACTTGAAGAAACATAATACTACACTGCTAAAATTCTAAGATGAAAAACAGAACTTTAAACTGTTGTAAAATTCAACTGCTAAAATTATAAGGTGAAAAACAGAACTTTAAATTGTTGTAAAATTCAATCTCAAGCAGGAGTTGGGCTATTAAAAAAAAGTATTTGCAGTTCATGATAACCTTATAAGGTACTACCACCTTCTTAGCACGCCTTCAAATTGTAGTGGTCAGCACACCTGACGCGTATTCGAGAGGCCCGTGGTTTGAGTCCCGGTGAAGGTGCTGCTAATTTTTCACCTCTCCTGTTTCGAAATAACCAAATGACTTTACGGTAGCGCCTGAACTAAAAAAGGTGGTGAATGATGATTCTTCACCACCAGGATTTGGTGATTGGGTCCCCTAAAACCCCAGCTGCCCTTTAAAAGGAGGAGTATATAAGGTATTTCTCCCGCCTTCTTAGCATGCCTTCGTAGTATAGTGTTCAGCAAATTCAGCGTGTATTTGAAAGGCCAGTGATTTGAGTCCCGGCGGAGGCGCTGCTCATCTTTCCTGTTTAAAAATAACCTAATGTCTCTACAACCTGACATAGGTCCTTCTTTTACAAGCAGTATCATTTAGTACTGTGACAACATTTTGAAAAAAAATCCTTGCTTAAAGAAAGTAAAATGCATAAAACTAGGGCAACAACTGTATTGCCATTTACTTGGGAAACAAAGTACAAAAGAGCATACAATTTCTTATATAAGGTTTATTATATATTTTAGGAAGAGCAAGGCAAGCTTTAAAGTAATTAGACTTCATTTAATTTGTTATGCTTCATTTTTGTAAACAAGGAATTCTTTCATCAAATCCGAATTTAATTTCTAATGTTATGTTTCCTACGACCAAGCATTTCAAAACCTGAACTCTTCCATACGAACATATAAGACTCATTCTACACACGCATACATTTCCAAGCGTTTCAGACTACAGGGACATGTGCAATTAAAATCTCTCTTTTACCAAGACTTTTCAAATAGAATTCTCAATAGATAACTTTCATACGCATAAGTTTTCGCTTCAAAATGCTTAAATTTAGAACTTACGTTGCAATATTATTGTGACATTTCGACCAGGACTCATAATTGGGTTATTTATAACTGTAGTTTCTGCAGCTGAAACATTATTTGAAGCTGGTTGAGGAGTGGTCAAAGTTACATGACCCGATGAAGTAGATGATGTAGTTGCAAACAATCTCCGTCTGGCACTCGACATACCAGAAGGCGTGGGTGACTGGAATCTTTCACTGAGTCCTATAGGTGACTGAGGATCTACAAAGGAAAGAGAAGCCTCAAATTATGAATATTAATACCAGAATTCTTCATAAGTTTGCTCAGATTATATATCTTCTAATATGTCAGCAGAAACTTCATACTTAAGACTGCAAATTCATAATGAATACAGCTTTCTTGGTAGAATTTGTTCTTCGTAGACAGTAACATAAGACTTGATATAAGTACTAAAATTCTCAAGTATGTTTATTAAGTTTGCTTTCAGTTTACTTTAAATTCTCACAGTTTTGATATAGCGGTTTTTATTTTTAAAATCCTGTATAAAAAAATGAAAAATCAGCTATTGATTTTTTTAATATTATCCGCTCTTCTATTTTTCAAAATTTCAACAGTAAATTATTATTATTTACTGTGCTAGTTATTAGAATTATTTTCAGAAAAATTTTACTTGGAATATAATAATTAACTCATCACTTGTGATTTAACTCTGTAAAGCCCCGACTTATTTATAATATAATATTAGGTAACAAAGCTGTGCAGCTCAATATATGTATGTATGTGTGTATTTATATATATTCACACACACAAAAATTTACTTGTTTCTAGTTACACATTTTCCAGGAGCATGATTAATAAAATCTCAAATATATATACGATCTTGAAATATACTTTCAGTAACAACCAACTGCTGCACAAATAAATAAGATTGCAATTATAAAATCCTATTAGTAATGTAAAAACAATAAAATGTACTTACTTTTCCTCTCACTCGTAACACGACGAACAGCTGGATGAGCAAGGGGAGATGATACTAATTGTGAAGAACATGTAGTTGTTGAATTTGGAGGTCTTGGTAAAGAAACCTATGACAAAAATTTTGATTTGCAAAAAATTCATTGTGAAAAATTAAACATATATGCATACTTTTTTAAGACAACAACAATGATTATAAACTAATCTAATGCTGTATTTAATTTGTAGATGTTTAAACTTATTGATTTATTCATAAATGTTTATTGTTCATTCTCACACACACATACACACACCAAAAGAATGCTATTATACACATCAATTAAATTTCTTAAAAATTACAAATCTATAAGAGATCATTTTTTCTATAGTTTATCTGATTTCCTTATCAACATATAAATACATACTTAAACATACAAATATAGGTACTTATGCATTATAGTATATGATACATAAGTACCTATATTTGTATGTATAAATATAGGTACATAAGTACCTCTATACCTATAGGTCAAAGCAATTGGTCCCTTTAACAATTTTGGTGCAAAATATTAGAAATTTCACTGCAATTATTTTCACTGCAGGCACATTCTACAAATGTATATTTTGAAATTAAGTTTAAAGAAAAAACATATCACAGCTTAAAAACTGGTGGAAGCTGGAATATAACACAATACAATTTGTATGAAAACAGTGATGTTACTTGTTAAATCAGAAGAACTGTTTTATATAGGATAGCCTGAAGAATGGTTATGTACATGGTTTCCAGAATTGGACATGTTCCAAAAATTTACCTACTTCTACTAAGGTGGTTGTGCTAATAAGTACCTAAATGGGTATGTGTATATATATATATATATATGTAATGTTTTCAGTTACTCCAACACATCGTGGGAGAATGGTGAGGCTATTCCATTACACGCTCTGGCAGATGGTTGACGAAGCTGGGATGATTGAAGTACGGAGAAAAATGACGACTCAGGACTTTTCACTTTTAACAGCAAGCACATCTTTATTTTAATTTACAGCAGATGACTTTTTCCAGATGAAGTTAATCAAAGAACTTATTCAGTAATTGAACTATTAGATATGACTGACTTTAAACTTTAATACGTCATAAGGTTCTAACAAAGAAAGAGGAGCATAACGGAAGCATTAGCAGGACAAAGGCGAGAAGGCATCTGTGTAGGAGAACTTATGACACAGCATTTATATGAAAGGTTATGTAACAGAGTAGCTTCTAGAAAAATGTAGAAAAACTTATGACGCAGTATTTATATGAGGAGGTTATGTAATAGGTACGAATGTTCTAGAAGGTACTGGTTTAGGGGAAGATCCTGAATTGCAGAAAATTAATTAAAGGTTGCTGGTTTGCAAAGAGCAAAGCCATCATATTTTTTTTATATTTTACATCTCCCCCCCCCCTCGTCACAAAGAGAGACTGGGGTGAGAAAAGCATTAGTACAGGAGTGAAGCAAAAGTATGAGGAAAGACATGAAAACATCCAGAACATAGCATACAAGCTTTAACTATGGCCTATCATAGTTCATGACTTTCTCATATAAAATTTTGACTTTATAGCATATGAAATTTTGAACATTAAAACTATGAGTTATAAATAAATATACAATATATGAATAATTTTAAAACTATAACATAATAAATATGGAATACTGATAAATAAATAAGTTATAATTACAAAAGTCCTCAATTTTGTTAAAAACGTCCATTTTATTTTTTGAAAGTCCTTTTCATAAAATGAGTTCGAATAGAATGAAAATATTTGGTAAAATCTCGAAATGCCAGATAGTCCACAAATATGATGCATGTTGATAGTTCACAAATATGATGCATTTTTTTTGCGCTGAATATGTTTTCATAATAATAAGCTTTGATTAGAAAATATGTTAAATTTTTCTTCCTTCAGATAAAATTTATGAATAATATGTGCATTTTTTCCTCTGATCATAGGCAATTAAAGATTGACATATTTTACACTTCAATACAAAATATTATAATTATTCAAAAAACAATTCAATATAAATAATACAATTATACACTAGAACGTGAACACTTTCACTTTAAAACTATGGCATGTCCTCGCCAGATCAGCATGATTACTTGCTGATGGTTGGGGGTGCTAGGTACATATATCGAAAAACCTCCGTTGCCTAATGCAAGGTAACTGGTTTTTGGCATTGTGCATTACCTCAAAGTGGTTTTAGAAAAATTAAAGATCATATAAAATCAAAATTATAAGACAGATAACTTGTATAATCAAGTTAAAGTCTTTTTTATAATTTTGTAAATTAGAAACGAATATTATCCCACAATAAGAAGAAAATTTTTGCTACAATATATTCAAATTATGTGAAAAATATAAATAGTCAAGATCGGGAGAATAATTTGTCATAGTCGGGAAAATAACTTGTCATAGTTAGGGTTTAAGTCTAAATCAGGTATTAAAAGTCATAATCAGAAAGATTTTTAATAGAGAATTTTGAAAAAATTAATTTTTAATTTTGAACAGAGATAGGAATTCTACTATTTCTGACAGTTAACTTAAACTCACTTGCTGGATTAAAAGGTCTTAATCTAGTTGAATGAACAATTTCTGATTTCTTTTTAGTTAAAGGATTAGGTTTATCAATTTTCATAAGTAACTTCAGAATATTGTTTTAAAATTTTATAAGGTCCTGAGAATGGAGGAGATAATTTACGTGTATTAGGGTATTGAAATTCTTCATACATTACTAAATCACCAATTTTAAAATTACTAGGTTTAAAATGAATATCATATCTTTCTTTATTTACATTATGATAATCATCAGATCTCTTTTGAGCTATTTTTCTAGCTTCTTCTATTGACGGATACAATTCTTGATTTTGAATTAAGGAATCATAAGGTAATTTTCCATACATTAAATATGATGGAGGGAATTTTGTTACAGTTTTATTATAGTTTGATAGTTTTTGTTATAGTTTGATTAACACATTCAATTTTACCATTAGTTTGGGGTCTATTTGCAGTAGTTAGCAATTGTTTTACATTATGATTCCTTAAAAGTGCTTAAATTTTGAAGATGTAAAAAAGCAGTGTTCCTATCACTTAAAATCTTTTTAGGGACCTGAATTTGGAAAATTTGTTTTAGACAATTTATAGAAGTATCTGTAGTTACACTTTTGGAAGCAAAAGTCCAGATATGTCTAGTTGCATGATCAATAATTATGTGAATATACTTTTTAGTAGAATTATAATAATTTAAACCACCTACAGTATCAATAGATAATATTTCAAAAGGTTCACTAACTGATGGTAAATTTTGCATTAAACCAAATTTCTTTTGTTTACTTTTCTTATTAAACTGACATACTTCACAATGTTTACAATAATTTCTAACATCTTGAACAATTCCTGGCCAATAATATTGTGGAGATAACAAATTTAGCATAGATGATACACCAATATGACCAAATTGTATATGGGCCTTTTCAAGTAATTTCGTACGTAGAGACATGGGTATAACAATTTTGTACAATCCCTGTTTTTTAATAGTTAAGACATCATTCATTTTCCTATACTTAGTATTACAAACATTATCTAAATTTTGATATTCTTTTATTTCTTCTAATAATAATGATATTCTAATAATTCTTCTAATAATTGCAATTAATGTGTAATTAAATGTTGACACATAGGATTTCTAGAGAGCATGTCAGCTTCAACATTAGTAGATCCTTTTTTATATTTATATCAAAATCATACATAGATAATTTTAAAGACCACCTAAATAGACGACCTGTAGGGTGTTTTATATTTTTAAGCCAAACTAAAGCAGCATGATCAGTATGTACAGTAAAATGGTTACCATGTAAATAATAATAAAATTTATCAATTGCATCAATAATAGATAAACATTCCAGCTCAGTAATGGCATAATTATGTTCATAAGATCTTAATTTTCTAAAATGAAAAGCAATTGGATGTAAACTACCATCAGGATGCTCTTGTTTTAAAACAGCACCAACAGCTTCTTTGGACGCATCAACAAATACATGACAGGGATATTTAGGATTAAACAAAGTTAAAATAGGTCTAGAAATCAATGCATCTTTTAATTTTTGAAAAGCTTTTTGACATTCATCAGTCCAATTATAAGGAGTATCTTTCTTCTTAAGTAAATTAGTTAATGGGGCTCTAATTTTAGCATAATTTTGAATAAATTTATGATAAACATTAATACTTCCTAAAAATCTTTGTAATTCTTTGATATTTTTAGGAGGTTGCAATTTCTTAATAACCTCTATATTTGCATTACTGGGCTGGTATTTACCTGCTTGAATTTCATATCCTAGAAAATTTATTTTTTCTTTAGCAAAGTTACATTTAGATTGTTTTAATTTTATATTCTCTTTCTCACATATATCAAATATTATTTTAAGATGATTTAAATGTTCATCAAAATTTGGAGAGAATACTATATCATCAAAATAATTTAAAGCAAATTGAATCTGATATTTGTTTAAAATTTGTCTAAGAGCTCGTTGGAAAACAGCTGGGGAATTTTTCCAACCAAAAGGTAATCTAGTAAACTCATACAGTCCAAAATTTGTAGTGAATGCCAATTTTTCAGTATCCTTTTCATTTAATTTTATATGCCAATAGCCTGATGCCAAATCCAATGTAGAAAAGATTTTTGCATTTGTTAATTGATCTAAAACAGCATCAATTCTAGGAATAGGTTCAGAATCAGTTTTAGTAATTTGGTTAAGCTTCCTGAAATCAATACACAATCTGCTTCTGGACTGCTCGTCTCGCTTATAAGCTAAAGTTACAGGAGCAGCATAAGGACTATAAGAAGGTTTAATAATTCCAGCTTTTAACAATTCATCTATTTGTTTTTTAATTTCACTATTATCTTTAGGAGATGCTCTATATGGTCTATAGGCTATTGGTAATTCAGAAGTTAATATAACTCTGGGAGGTTCAACCCTTATACAACCAACATCATATTTACTTTTTGCAAATATATGATTATAATCATTCAACAATTTCTGTAATTTACTATCAGAATTTTTACTATTTTCAAAATAATTACCACAATTTTTAGTACTAAGATCATTTTTACATACAAAATTTTCGCTATTATCAAAATATTTACTAGATTGTTCAGCACTGATATCATTTTTACATACATAATTATTTTGGAAAAACTTGTCTACTTTAACATTTTTACTTACCTGTTTTCCAAGCTGATACACTTCATAATTATGAAAATTCAATTGTAATTTAAATAATGAAACACATGGTGATGAAAGCAATAAATAATTCAAATTTGAATCTACTACATAAAATATCACATTATTTTCTATTTTACCTACTTTACACTTTACTTTGATTATTTTCTCTATATGAACTTGACTAGATATTGAAAATATTTTATCATGGGATTTCACTGAAATTTCTCTAAATTTATCACCAATTTTGTTAAAAATTTTTAACGGTAAAACGTTAATTTGCGATCCCGTATCAATAATACTGGGAATTTTTTCCTGTCCAATTTGGACATTCACTTTAAAGTAATATCATTTTTTAACTTCTCTTTTAGAAACCGTGTTATAATAATAGCAGGTAATTGTGGATATCGAATTGGCCGATACGATACGCATACTGTAGAGGTCGGTATTGCACTTGTTGATAATTAAAAGGTCTCACACTACGAAAACTTTGATAAGGAGTGGCTTGCACTGGTCTGGGATAATAGCACCTCGGAACAGTTTGCCTTGGAGAAACAAATTGGTAATTACTATTTCCTAGACCATCCAACGGCATCTGAACTGGAAACAGTTTCCTAGCAAGAGTAATCCAGTCTTTCGGTGTGTCTATTTTTTGCACTGTTAACAGCATTCTTTGAGACTCAGGAAGTCCTTCCGTAAGTGCTTCCACCATTGTGGAATCTGTTAGTTTCAAGCTGGCTCCTAATTTCAACTTATTACGAAAATAAACATCAATATTATTAAATTTCTCGTATTTTAAAGACACAAAATCACTAAAAGTAACAGATTCCGATGTTGTGAAGTATGTCTCGAAAATATCCTTTATGTTGTTTCCAGTCTTTATCTAAACAATCACGTAAATAGAGGGCTAAAGCCTCTCCTCTAATACACTCTGAGAAAACAAATTTCTTTTCCTTTTCTGGAATGTTCTTTGCGGCACATTTCTCTTCAAACAATAGAAGATATTTGTCTATTGGAAAATTTGTACTTGTGCCGTCAAAAATAGGGAATTGAAATTTCACTTGTATCCACAATAGCTACGGATTCTTGCTTATCAGTTGACATTTTTGCCGTTTTTGAGCGTGTTAGCATTCCAATCACAAAATCTTGAATTTAAGAGTTCGCATACACATCAATTTGAACACTAAAATCAATCACTTTAGAAGCACTTGATAAAACGCATAACTTTGGAGACGAGGGAAAGCACTTAAGAATCGCCGGAAAAGAAGCAAAAACATCAGACGATCGCACACTGTCCTTGACCTACTGTTGAATTTAGAAGCGCGTTATAAATAAATCCAGGAGCTTTTTTCCCACGTAGAGGATAAATCTTGCCTGCTAATTAATAACTGTAATGTTTTCAGTTATTCCATCACATCGTGGGCGAATGGTGAGGCTATTCCATTATACGTTCTGGCAGATGGTTGACGAAGCTGGGATGATTGAAGTACGGAGAAAAATGACGACTCAGGACTTTTCACTTTTAACAGCAAGCATATCTTTATTTTAATTTATAGCAGATGACTTTTTCCAGATGAAGTTAATCAAATAACTTATTCAGTAATTGAACTATTAGATACGACTGACTTTAAACTTTAATACGTCATAACGTTCTAACAAAGAAAGAGAAACATAGCAGAAGCGTTAGCAGGATGAAGGCGAGAAGACATCTGTGTAGGAGAACTTATGACGCAGCATTTATATGAAAGGTTATGTAACAGAGTAGCTTCTAGAAAAATGTAGAAAAACTTATGACGCAGCATTTATATGAGGAGGTTATGTAATAGGTGCGAATGTTCTAGAAGGTACTGGTTTAGGGGAAGATCCTGAATTGCAGAAAATTAATTACAGGTTGCTGGTTTGCACAGAGCAAAGCCATCACATTTTTTTTATATTTTACATATATATGTAGTATGAGGTTGGGATTAATGATGAGGAAGGTCATCAATCCCAACCTCATACTATGAAGAACTTCATACACAGATAGAAGCATTATGTGGCTTTTAATAACGAAACAGTCAACATGAAGAAAATATGTACAGAATGAAGGAAGTAAGATGAAAGATTCAGTCTATAGCATCATAACAACAAAGTAGCATTCACATCATCAATGAAAAAATCACAGTCCCTTGTCTCAGAATCGTTGACACTCACTCGAGGTACGCCGTTGACTGTCTGCATCTCAATTTCCTCACTCAGCTTGAAGAATCGTCTAACTGTTGTAGGGGTTGCCAGATGTAGGGTGTCAAAAGTTGTATAAAAAGGGTGGATGACCACACACAATTATGACATATATATATATATATAATAATTTAATGTGCAAAAGAAAACATTGGAATTTTTAACAGCTTTCAATATCCATCATGGCTGAGGGTTGAATGTATACAGACGATGATGAAACTGGGTTTTTACAAATCATCCATCCTTATAATCAAATCATTTTCTTGGCAGTTAAAATATTTCCAGATCATATGCAATTACAATAATTCTTATATACACAGATAGAAGGATATGATGTCATTTTAGGCAAGTGGGCATAGCAGCAGGAATATTTTAGCAGTGGTGGAAGGTAGGAAAAGAATGATGCAATTTCTTATGTGCGGTATTTATACCGAAGTAGATGAAATTGTAGAGACAAGCTATAACTGGTTAATTTTAGTTACCTTTTTCAAGCAGTGTTATAAAACATGGAAAAATCTCGAATTTGGAAGAAAGGATGAATTTAGGGGAGAGAACATAAAATCTAGAATCACTAATTTTAAGGTCACCAATTACTCTTAAAGCAGCTATCGTATTTTGTTATATCTTACACATATATATATACATATTTTCAAGTTATTTGTTTCTGATTTTTCAAGTACAGCTAAGGATAAAAAGTATTATGCATTTTTGTTTTAACAGCTTCATGAAATTCATAAACAAACATACCACTGGATTTGGCATAATTCAAGTTTAAATTTATTTTGCTTTCAATCAAATATAATACAACACACATTTTAAGTTTTGTTTCTTCGTTATTTTTACATAAAGCACTCTGATGAATAATATTTCAAAAAAATTTTCTTTTATATTAATCTTTTATATTAATTTTATAATTCTTTAATTATATATATAATGCATATTAAATATATACAAGTGTGCTATATATCAAATAAATATATCTGAAACATCACTGAATGCATTCCATAGATTACATTAGTTATAACAAATTATTAACTTACATCCTCACACGAAGGTACATTAAGACCAGACATTTCTATTGCATTCCATAATGGAGATTCTGATTTCCATGCTAAGCTTTCCAAAATT